CAAGGTCAGTCCAAGGGACTGAGCCCGTGCTGAAAGAGTTAATATATAAAAACACTAAAGTTCATATCCACACAATCCAAACACTTTTCCCGTGCAGTACTTCCCAGAAAAATACTTTTTTAGAAAATGTTCACTTTTTCTAAAATTTTTTCAACAAGGTATGAATACTACAATTAGTAATTAGTAGCACAAACAGCCACCTGTAGGCTAGTATTTAAAATTAGTAGTTTTTACTTGTCTCCTTAAAAAAAAATACTCACCTTTCTTCATGGGAAAGTGTTTTCACAGCCTAAAAATAAAAATAAGCTTGTGTTAACTTAGTAATATATGAACAAACATTTATATTACATAGTTCTGGGATACTGAAAATTATATACGTATGGTTAAAATTGATTAATTTTAAAAATATTACTTAATGTATTATAAAAAAAATATTAAAATGTTAAAATAGGCTACAGCTTCATCTTCACAAGTGTAAAGTACTGAAACAGTTTATTTTAACAATAACTTTTTATTATTCATTAAGTTGTCAAATATTTTTCATATTGAGTTGCGTAAGAAACATTTTATTGAACACTTGGTTTTACTGGAAACAGTTAATCCCAATGTCATGAAATATTAGGTTCAGACATGACATTAATATTTATGGTAGTATAAGCTCTATAACGTAAAAACAAAATGTGAGAGACCTTGTCGACATCCAGCTTCGGTTTCTTACTCTGCAGTTCTTTCAGGATCTGTAGGTTTTTCCCTTTTTCCTTATTGAAATCACCAACATTTGCCTCAAACTGTGTAGAATCAAAATAACCCTTAATTATGTTTATGTTCAATAAATTATTTTTCTTTTTATTACAGAGCATGTTCCTAATACAAATATTGATCGTTCCTTCTTACTGACAGTATTACAACATTGCTATGTTTTTTTACCTTGAAGTATGTTAGCAATAACAATACTACTAACAAACTTTAGCTAAATACTTGAATAATCTGTGGGTCATAAGAAGGGTTTACACTAGAGGAAAAAATACCATTGAAATGATTACATAAACCCTGTCTTTTTCACACTTATGAATAAGATGTTGTTGAATCTGAAAGTGGCCATGAGCTAAAATAGTTACTCAGCCTATTTTAATACATTCTACAATTATGGAAGAAGGATGGTACTTGTTTTAAACCTCAATTTGTTAAGAGTTCTGAACAGGAGGTGGACACAACAGTGCTTTCATCCAGACAATAATAATTTTAGTACACCATAAAAAATTAATAGTGTTTGTTGACGGTGTTCATAATGATGAAAATATATTAAATATACATTAAACATGTATTAGTTGTTCAATGTAGTTGCTGAATTATATATAAACTAAAATGTATTCCCC